TTCGCAGTTGAGAAGTGCGATGTAGTTAGCGCATGCCACGCCTAGTGCGCATGGCTTTAACCCAAGCGTAGTGTCAGCCTCATTTAAGCGTAGCATCAGATCGTTCGATGCTACAGTAGAGGCTAGCAAGTGAACTCAGGCTTAGGCTTACTTCTTAATGTGCCCTAACTACATCGCACTTCTCAACTGCGAATGTGAACGAACGAAATGCTGTTTTGATTTTACTGACCTTAAATGCAAGATTACCATACTTTCATGAATAACGTCAGCCCCCTTGACACCCCCAAATCCCTTTCATTGCACCCCCTTTGACACCCCCAAATCACTCAAAATTGGGTGACCTCCCCTCTATGAAGATCCCTGGTCTAATATATCGATTTTATTCATAAGACCTAATCCAGTTCAATCGTCCCAAGCATAATCAGAGGTAGGCTCAGTTCCCATGCTTGGAAATACACACAAATTTTATCAGAATAATTCTAACATCAGCATATTTTACTCTACAATTCCATTAATTAACGTTGTGGTGAAGTATTTTGTTTATTTGCCTGTTAAAAACTGTTCAGCTATTTTCTAAACATAATAGGCACATACAATTAGTGAACGGCAAATGCATACGAGGAAAGTAAAATTACTTTATTCAACAGGACATTTGATGAAAATTTAATAAAACTTAGAGAATTGGTAAAATTCGAGAACTGTTCGAATTGATTCGGAGTACGAACAATCGTTATGTCCACATGATCGAGGTTGAGGCTTATCCCGAACTTCGGCTGAGGTTCACTTGGAACCGAGATTGATGCTTTGCTCAAACTGAGACCGAGGTTTATTCTGTATTGCGAACAGCCTTCGAAAACTCAGCCGGACTCGTTAAAACTGCTAAAAGTATTTGTGCCAAAGTTTAAATTCACACTACGTTGAGTTTCACCAGTTTCGCGTCCGTAATCAGCAACACCTAACTTGTAAATCATGCAATCGTCTTCTTCAAAAATATGAACGCTTTACGGCAATAAAATCAGATGAAAATTCCGTATTCTGAGTTTCTGTTATCCAGTGCAGCAAAATATAACAAAAGTTGACTATAACATAGCAAAAGTATGACAAAATAAAACAACCTTTATAGACTTTTTGCCATCACTAGACGACGACCTGCAACATCTGTGCTGCTTTTCAACCACAAAAGTCTGAGTCTACGGCAAAAATCGTAGCTGACAAAAGTCAATACATATTCGTTTGAATGTCTGATCAAATTAGTGTGATTCAATCTGTTGTGATATGATCAATGTGATCAAATATCAATGGGTGACATGAATTGTGATATTCGTTGTAATTGATCTTTATGTTTGATCGGTATATAAGCAGCAACTGTATATAAGCAGAGCGTTTTGTAGTAGATTTCATTCCGTGTAAATTTTCATTGTATCGTCTATTAGTTGGTTTTAATAAAGTTTAATACAACTGTGGACTCTACAACACTATCTAAGTACTTTGCTGCACTGGATAATTATATGTCATTTTATGCGCGTTTTTTGCGAAAGCAGTTATGGGCACGAAAGTGATGTTAACAGTAAACTATAGCAATCAGAATGACTGCCGTAGCTATATCGATGGACATCTAAATAAGTTCTGTATGATCACAAAATGCAATGCAAACAATTTGAACCAAATCGCTCATTGTGGCTGTTGAATGAAGCGATGAAAAGGATGCTTCATTGATAATTATGTGATAAATTATGTGATCGTAACCTCAATCAGTTGCCTCTCAAAGTGAAAAACTATGTGGTCCATTGCACACATCTGCAATAAAGCATGAAAATTTAAAGAGGCTAGATGCTTCCGATCTTACATTATTCAATTCAAAAAACCTCATCATCAATTCTACAGGGTCGATTCTACAGGATCATAAATATTCAGTGATACAAATAATCAAATGAAATGAACCGAAAGCAACGCAAATCCAAGTCAGCAAATTAACTAATGTCTTTTATGTCGAACCAATAAAATTATTTACTAATCACTATACCTTCTCGCAATCATTATCATTTCATTCATCGCAATCATAATCAAGCAATTACCATCGACATCACACTGAAACCGAACGCAAATTGTAGTTGTATCTACCTGCTCATTTATCATCATAATCACCACGTTCTCTTGATGTTGTCTCAACTTGGTGTATGAATAAATAGATGAAGAGAAATAAATTGAATTTTGAATGTAGCATTTCGTGATATTCGAAAAGTGAACGGCAAAAGGGAAGGGATAGTTAATTAACGAAATAAATGAAATTATTTAGTGATGTGCATTGATATCAGTGCTGATTGATTTGATCAAAGGATCAGATATGTATTAATGGCAGCAGTTGAAGTTTGAGCTGAACACAGATGATAACTAGAAGTGACATCGTGTTCCATCAACAACAATTAATTTACTCATCTAATTGTATGGTAGACTCGCTGTTCGCGAAACAGATGGAATGTAAAGTTAACTGAGGATGACGTTTATTAGATATTGTATGCACGCTAAAGGAACCTTCTTATGTGTGATCGTCATTCCATCCACGAATAACATCCTCTTTCATCCATCTCCAAATGAGTAATATGGCTTCATATATAATCTCTTGGAAGTGACAAGCAAGCACCATTCATCAACTAACTTGCATCCACACATCCACCGCATTTCTAACTTTACCAAGTTCCAATCACATCACCGAATCCCTTTATCACTTCTCATCTATCATATCGTCACACCATGAAATTCACAATCCTCGTTGCCATTCTCACTTTCATACCATCATATATAACTGCACTCGATTGCAGGTTTGTTTGCCGTTCCGTTCCCCATTCCAAAAATCCGTTTCATTTCTAAATGTCGACAACGGATATAATTCAAAAAGACTTTCGAAAACGCTTAGTTCCTTTCAAAAGTCCCAGTTACCTACATAAGAATGTTCATTGGCTCACTCCTCTCACTCCAGGGAGAGAGCAAATCATTAATTTCAGACTCAACTAAATTTTCATTTCAGAAAATTTTCGTTCGCTCCAGCCTGTCGAGGAATTATGCTGAAGAAAAGTGATCCATCAGCGTCAGTTCCCAATGCTGTCGATATTCTTCCAGCAGTTTATGCAAATGCAGTATGTCATTCATTCAAGCAGTGATTTAAAAATTATAATAATCTTCCAGTGATAAAGATACTCATAAAAGAAACATAAAAAACCATCCGGAAAAAGAGATGTTAAATTTTTCTATGAAATGACAACAAATTTTGGATCTATCACTGTGAAGTTTAAAATTACGATAAATCGCATTCACGAATCCACCAACAGGATCATCCAAAATTGAGATCGATCATTATAAACGACCATAAAGATCGATCATGATAAATGGGTGTCTATGAAGTACAAGCACACAGGCAACATGTTTTTTAAAAAAAGATTTTATTCAAGTTGTTTATTGAGAGTAACACTTTCAACACGATCTCTTGTTTGAACGAAAATACTGTTGAAAATTTCATGTCTTAAAATGAAAAAAGATTTTTGTGCGTCCAAACATTAGTGACCCTCTGGATGATAAAGAATGGATGCAATGATTCATCACAAAAATTCAGCTGTAATCACAACAACCGAGCGTTTCAGAATGAATCGTCTGAGGCATTCGATATGTTAAAGTGGATGTTAGCTGAAGCCGAAACACAAGGCGTTGAGTGTGTTCCGACCGAATGGATCAAATCAATGATTACATCAGCCTCACAAAAAGCCCAAAAACGTGCTCACTTCAAATCGTTTGCCTAGATGAGTACACAATTAATTACAGTGATCATTTACATTCGCAAAATGAATCATCGAACATCGATAAATCGATCTCAATTTGCATCTCGAATTCGGTTGAAAGAAGAAGGTGGATAGTGGAGAAACGAGATCGCTCAAGTTGAGTAACATTGAGATGGAAATAAGTTAGTTAAAAATATAAATGATGATGCATCACCATAATGCTTACCAATCACTCTAATAGTGAATATTATTACTGTTATCGACATGCAATAATTCGGTATCATATCCATATCAAATTCACGTTTCTAGCAATAAATAATTGATATGAACCACTCGCAGTATAATATAAATATCAATTTATTTATTCAAAAGAAGGATCAAGTAAAGTAGTCACTTTATTCTTACAAACAATAGTCGAACATAAATTATTCATGCACTATTTTTGTCACATATTTTGTTGAGAATATTCGAAGAATCGAAACAAATCTCATGTCAAATTCAACTTCATTCCATCGAATAAACTCGTTATGATTATCACGATTATTAGGAGATGTCTATCTGATCATTTCGTTATAGGAACACCGTTAATGGCCCATCTTCAGCTCTCATTCAAAATACTCCTTCGATTTCACACAGCTCACTCTCCTCCTCATAGTATAGCACTCAGATACAATCGAAAAAAGCGGCTGAATGAAAGACGTTCGCAAGTAGTGTTTTGATAGAACTTATTCGAAATCAAACATCATAATAATACGTTAATAACTGTTATATTAGTAACTGATATGATAGGAATATTTGTGAATGTTGCTATAAATGTTGCGACTGATCAAAATAATCAAAATATTACCGGACTGTAAGATTACCATATGACAATTTGAAGGGCTTGATATTTGTAATAAAAGCTTTCAGAGAGATCGTTTCGTTTCTTACGAATATTATTCAATAAAAATATACAAGACTGCATCTTACTATTATTGTTATCGACAAATCTTTCAATAACGTGCCAATGCCAAACACCAATGCTATTTTTTCACATCAAATCCGGATTATTATAGACGCATAGAATAATGAAACTGATTAACCCATGAACCATAACAGAGAGTAAACAAGCACTACGCTGACAGTGGACGAACGAACAAATTATTATAATGTAATCGTCATTCGTTCAGTCCACCACTCTCTTCGCTGTTCATTCAACTGATCCGCTCTGCGCTTTTTACGATGGTCTCAACCAAAAGTAGGTTTCTTCGGTGTACCCATAGATGAGGCACGCAATGGACCATGGCAAAAACCTACTCTCTGCGTTCAAAACTCACATCAAAAATTTGTAGGTGATCCGAACATGGTCGTCATTGGTCACAAATGCTCACAGTTGCACGAAAGATTATTTACCACACTCCGAAATCAGTGAAAATACTCCAATACAGATCAGCCAGACATGGGTACTCCACAAAATTAATCATGAAAATGAATTAATTCAGTGTGAAAATATTAACATTCAATATCGAGGAATCAATCAACTATGTGCTAATATACTAATGGTGAGCCCACCAAAGATTTTCCTTCACAAGTGGTTGATCTAAAGAAGTATTCGATTGCAATCGATCAACAACTGATCTAATAGGCCAAATATCGCGATTATCGCGTGGAGATTTCGACTTGACATTAGCTAACGATAAAGAACGATCACGTAGATGATGTTGGTGCAGGGTGGTGAATGGAGACGTTGAAAGTGATGGTAAAGTAACTGCCGAACGTTGAGATTGTTTCGGAGATCGTGACTGAATTGTCGCTAATGAAGTTTGAATTGAGTCTGGTTCAGTTTTAAATATGAAATTCTTGATCGGTGCAATTACATCCAATTCACCTTCACGAAGGGGTGACGAATTCCAGGGTGGCTTCTGCGATTCAAGAGAAATTTTATCACTATCGGCGATGGAGGAGTTCGTCGAACGGAGTTCATTGCAAGCACCATCAGAAATAGCAGATAGATTCGATGATTCACGTCTTCGTGAAGCAATCTTGCGTCTTATCGCAGTCGCATGTTGCTGTTTATCATCAGATAATCGTCTTTTCGATGATGCATTCTTCTTAAACAAACCGTTTTCACTCTCGCACGTTCTATTTACGCACTCTTCCTTGTCACCTTCATCACGCCATCCCTCACTACCACACGACAATCTTGTCCCCCTTCCTCGCTCACTTCCTAATCGAATGTCACCTTCTCGTGATCTCGACCGTGCTCTACTCACCGCCCTTCTCGGAATCGCCGTTTGCTGACCACCTACTGAATTTTTTTCATCGACTTCGTCAATTTTGTCAGCATTCTTACAATCAGTAAAACATTCTCCTGATGTTTGTATAAGTGCATTGGTCTGTTGCTCACCAATACTTTTTATGCTGTCACTATCATTTGGCTGCATTTTTGCTGACTGATCATTTGAATTAATAGTACTATCATCGAGAACAGCTTTATTTTGTTCTAAAATCGAACCATCGCTATCTTCATGTGGTTTCGCTCTGAATTTTGAAAGAATATTTGGCAGCTGTCGGAAATATTCCGCATCTAATTCATCTGTTCTTGTTCCATTTTTTGGCGCTTTATTAGCACGTTCATCCAAAATGTACCCACTAAATTTACGCTCAAATCTTCGTTTCAGCTCAGGCGTATGTCTATGATTACAAACACGAGTGGTTGCAGGACACGATTTCGACGTGCATGAGTCATCATCGTTAACCAATTCGGCGCTCTTCTCCGAGATACTCGATAATTTACGTTCGGGTGTTTCATAACGTCGACGATAATAGTGATCAACAATAAACCTATCACCATCACCTTGGTGCAATCGTTTAGCAGCATTTTCATCGCTATTTACCGTAACATTAACGTCAGGACTGAGAGTTGCTGCAATTGGAGCATTCAGTAATGTTTCACAAGATGCACTTCCACGATCATTGGCAGTTGTTTTTTCTTCAGCACACGTTGCTGAGATACCCTCTTCATGAATTGTAGCAATGGACTGAGGCAACTGCTCAACACTTACTTGATGTTGCCGTTGCTGTTGTTTATTGGTTCTTCTCGTGGTTCGTTTACCATGCTCAGAATGAATCTCACGACCACTTGTAGGGTAGCGCTCTGACGATTTTATGGTCGCATCGAATTTAGCCATATTCAACTCTTTTCGTTCTGAGTCCTCAACCAGATCAAGAAGTTCATTTACACAACTACCAGCCACCATTCGAGTTGTGCACAATGCAGGCTCATTCCTATCTCTACAATATCCATTTGCACCCACTAATGTATGTTCATCTTCTGTCAAATCTTTCGCAACCATTTTTGACTTCGCATCTCTCACCATAGCTTCATTATCAATTTCATGATGAGATTTCCCATTTTCATCAACACGTTTATTTTTATTGTCAATGATAGGTTGTCCATTACGAACACGTTCAGCTTGACAACCATTATTATTCAACGTCGCAGCTTTCTCGACAACTTCATTCAATTTACTCAGAACGCTATCCTTAGAAGGTGTTCGTCGCTTCATTATCGCCAATTGCATCTCATCATTCGTTCCTTTCTTTTCGTTTTCTTTTCTTTTTTCAACCACTTCTTCCTCGTCCCTTACGCCCGACTCACAACATTCACTCTTATTATTATCTTTTTGCTCCTGTTCAGAAATATTTTCTGCCGTCGAAATTTGATACAGTTTTGATGATACTTCATCGGTGTTTCGCATCAACGAAGAGGAATCGACGATGCTGGTGGTTTCGTCGGATACTTTTGATTCTTGTTTCGGAGTAGAACCGTTTGAAGAGGGAATATTAGTACTGTTAGTATTTGTATGGGTAAGATTCAACATATGATTCGATCGATCATCTGCTGATTGATTTTGAAGGAGACGTGCCGACTGAGCTCCATTATGAGGTGTTCTTACGTCGTTCGAGAACGCTTGTTGCTGTTGTTCTTCTTGTCGCATCCGAATCAGTTCATCGAGTGATGCAGAACAACTTTTTTGAGCTGAAAACAAACATATTTTTATCATTTCTGTTTATATTCCATTGAATTTTTTTATCAATAAATATAAACAGTAGTCAACATTTAATAAACTAACTAACACTTAATAGATTGTCGCTTAGTATATTGCATGCCAAGAATTTTGAATGTATCCCAAATTGTTGGCGTTGATGAATCTGATGGTGTAGATGCACTCGAGCATCTTGATGTATCCTCAGGAACAGCCTTCTCATCAACTGAGTTCAAATCAACCTCAACAATAAATCAAACAAATTAGAATCAGTAGGTCTACTCAAACACATATGGGTTAGTCTACAACAGAAAATAATTATGTAAAACATTGATGAGCTGCTGAATAAACAAAAACGAAATACTCACTTTCTCCTCTGACTGTTGTTGTCGTTGTTTTGGGTCGTTGATCAGTTTTGGGTCTGACGATGTAGGCAACTGAATTGAATTATGACTAGAAGGGCTGAGTGAGATTTGAGCTGACGAAGCTAACTCACTTATCAATGGTTTACTTATTTTATTATTATTATTATTATTATTGTTATTATCATTATTATTATCATTACTGTCGTTTTTGTTCTCAATAGCGGATAATTGTATGTTGCTTAAGGCTGCGATTGATTCTTGTCGTTGGACAGTGGTAGTAATTGAGGCACTGTCTTCATCATCATTAGTAATCGTTTTTGATCGCATCAGAGCAACTCTCTTCATGCTGCTATTGCTGTCACATTTGGCTGTTATGTTAGCATCGTCAACATTTCGCTTTGGTATTTCTACATTGTCACTTTTCAGCTCCTCCACTTTCTTCAATTCAGAACAATCTTTCAAGTTTATTGGTGATTCTGATGTTTTTTGTACCATTTTTTCTTCATTTATCATTCGACTTCCGCTGGAACTCTGTCGCCTTTCTTCAACTGTTAAAATGTTTGCCTGCAATTTGACTCTCTTTTCAGAAAGCATTCTGTAAAACGTGTGCCTCTAAAAGTCAATCGTTTCATCCGTCTTAGTTTCATTCCGAGTCACATGAATCAGACTTGAGATTAGGCCCATCCTTCTCCACCCCCTTCCTCCACACTGGAACCTTGGCTGCCTCTCAATTTTTACATCAATTCCATAAGGATATAAAACTAACCGTATAATTTTCTGAAGCGCTGGTCGATTTTTGATGACGATGATGAAAACGATGAATAGCGCAGCAAAGAAACAATATAAGAAGCACAAGCAGCAACAATACGAGCATCACCCAAAAAATTATACAAAATCCAAAAAGTTGAAAGCATCTGCAAAAAGTACATCACACACACTGAATGTCATCATTTGCAACTGCTCAGCAAGCTGGTAACAAACAATTCGGAATCAAATGAAATCCACTTATATTGCTGGTGTCAAAGAACATAGAAATGATGGACATATAGCAAACTGACCCAGCTGCTAAAGGAATGACAGCAGTGTGATTACACGACGATCTGTTGGTAGTGTCAGAGGACGTGTCATTTTTGCAAATGCATCGATAACGAAGATTATTTGCAAGACATTCGGCATTGCTGTCACAATCGTTCAACTCCGGTTGCTCACATGCAGATCTTTCTAGCTCTACAACAATATTCACATTGCTTCCATCAAAACACAAATTGTGTGTTGGATAAGAACAGTTCAAGGAGTGCACCATGAACTGTTACCTAACAAACTGAACAACAAAAGACCTCATATTGATTTCAAAAAACTTTTCTAAACATGAACAATTTTAGAGTTGATTCCTCTTCCCTTAGGGTTTAGTAGCATTTGAATGAGCCCAAATACAGTTTGAGATGGACACCTTAAATTATCGACGGTAAGCAGCTGAAAGGAGTACAATTTTAAAGAGCCGAGCACATACCGAAGATTCTGATTTGTACATTTGGATGAGGACTGTTTTGATAAAGTGCGTTTAAGTCATCGATGAGACAGTCGTTGTCGCAGAGCATGTTCACGATTACTTCTTCAGCGTCTTTACGTATGCACATTTCGTTAGAAAATACTTCTGATAACTAAACAATATCTGTTGTTTATCACACAGACGTCGTTTTAGTTTCAATTTTAACCCTAATTAAGACGTTCTTATTAATAATGTATAGTCGTGAACGCAAAACAGGTATGGTTTCTTATCGGTAATAATAATAATAATAATAATAATAATAA